CTTTCCCTCTTTCGTGCCCCTTCTCTGGGGGAACAGCAGAGACAGTTTAATATCCTCTTCCTCCGAGCCCTTCTCCAAACTGCAAATGGGTAATGCAGCCTGTTTAGAAAAACAAATGAAACAAACCATCCAGGGTCTAATGGGAAAAGCAAGAGGTATAGGAAACAAAGGGAACCACCAGCAAAGAAACTAAAAACTACAAAATACGCTCCCAGGGAAAGAAAAATCAGGACTGTCCTGCGTGTGGATCGCACTTTGCTGGCGAGTTAGCCCGGGGGAAACGCCAGCCGCCCTGCATTTAGGATGGAGTGAGAAAGGCAGCAGAATTGCAAGTTGTGTTTCGACCTTAGGAAATCTGGGAAGGAAATGAGATCCCGGAATGGGAGGGCAAGGGAGACTGCGTATCTTATGTAGGACGGGCCATTGTTTATCAAAGTGGAGCCTGGTCCAAAATGTAAATTGCACCAAAACGTGTCATCTTAGGATTGTAAGGTATGTTTCCCCCTCCATTTATGTAGATCTGAATCTGTATAAAAGCAGAATGTGAACATTTGAAATGTCATTACATTGTAGGTATCGAGGGATACGCATTCGAAAGTGGGTTTGTGTGTGTCTTGGGGTGTAGGGACCGGAGAGGGAGAAGTAGGGGGACATTTGGCTCACAGGGATTCTCACAAGTGGTCCTCAAACTGAACCTACAGTCGACTCCCCGCCACCTAAGTTTCTGGACTGTGGTTCTGCCAGAGGTGGCAGAACTGGTGTCACTCTGGGAGTGAGAGTCCTCTCCTGCCACCCTACCCGCGCCTCCAGCTTCTGGATCTGCTGCTTCCCGCCCTTCAGGGCCAGCTGCTCAGCCTCGTCCAGGCGGTGCTGCAGGTCCTTCACCGTCTGCTCCAGGTTCTTCATGCGCCCCAGGTGGGCGCTGGCGTCCTGCTCCTCCTTCAGCTCCTCGGCCATCATGGCCGCCTGGTTAAGTTCACAGGAGGCATCAGTGGGCCACCCACCCCTGCTATGCGGGCACACAGAGGATGCTGTGAGGCTGGTACTAGGCATGCTGATGCTTTCCTCCTTCCCGCAGCCACCACTGATTCTGCATGGCTCCCCTCCCACTTGGCCTCTGCTGAGGCTCCATCTCCTTCCGTCTCTCCAGGAAGCCGCCACTGACTGAATGCTGGGGTGAGAAGAGGAAACCTACTTGCAGGTCCTGGCTTAGAAGCCCCTTTCTCATCTCCAGACAGCATCTCTGATAAGAAAGAATGGAGCTCACGTCCGTGATGGCCTTCCTGGCTGTCTCCTCTGCGTGTTTGGAATCCTGGATAGAGTTCTCCACCTCTGCATGGCACTGGGCTATGTCAGCTTCCAGTTTTTTCTTGCTATTTATCAGGCACGTGTTCTACAAGAAAAATTAGATAAGAGGTTCGGGCTACATTTGGACACTTACAACGATTGGAAGGGAGAGGGTTGGGTGGGGAAAGAAGTCAATCTCGAGAATGTTCCAGTTCTTATTTTTCACACAGGTGAAAAAAATTAAAAAGATGCTTTCATTTTTGATGGGACAGATATCCCAAAACAGGCCCGAGAATTGTACATAAAAGAACTGAGTAAATGATAAATGTGGACATTCAAATATTTGAGGAAGGATAGATTATTTAGTTAAACGTGCTGGAACAAGGAAATGGTTGACATAACTGTGAAATGAAAAATAATTCTCATGATCAAAACGTTGTACATAGAGTTGCTAGGATGATGACAAACGAGAAAACATTTGCAATGTGCATTACTGAAAAGATATTTCCTTCCTTAATATGTAAAAAAGACAAATCATTAAGAAAAAAGGGCAAAAGTACAAATAGCTAAGACACACCAGAAGAAATACAAATAGCCAACAAATATGACAAAATGTTCCACCTCATTAGTAATCAAAGAAATAAGAATTTTTAAAATGAGGCATTTTCAACCATAAAATTGGTGAAGATTAAAAAAAATAATAGCTAAGCACTCTCACATATTTTCCCCATGGGAATAAAAATTGGGACAACTTTGTTAAAGACCGGTTTACAACATATCATAAATGTCTTTGCTGTTTTGACCATGAATATATACTTCCAGGAATTTACCTACTTTTAGGAATATTAAGGAAATAGTAACCATGGATATATGTGAAAATTTAGTTATGAAGAAGTTTGTCCTACAATCTTCTAATCATAAAAATTTTTATTGGGAACAGTCTAAAAATATACAACCGTAGAAGACTGATTAAATAGAAGTGCCGTAATACACAACTAAAATGGACTGCTTTTCTGCCATTAAAAAACTGTATCGTAGGGCTTCCCTGGTGGCGCAAGGGTTGGGAGTCCGCCTGCCGATGCAGGGGACACGGGTTCGTGCCCCGGTCCGGGAAGATCCCACGTGCCGCGGAGCGGCTGGGCCCGTGAGCCATGGCCGCTGGGCCTGCGCGTCCGGAGCCTGTGCTCCGCAACGGGAGAGGCCACAGCAGTGAGAGGCCCGCGTACCGCAAAGGCTCCGGACACAAAACAAAACCAAAAAAACCCCTAAAATATAGAAATATGTTCACAACACGTTGTTAAATGAAAAAAAGTTGCAAAAGGATTGATCACGTTTACAAAAAATATCATTTATGTATAGAAACGAGTCTAGAATAAGAGATCCCAAACTGCTAACAATATGGTTGGTATTTTTCTATTTTTTTGGCTAATTCAAAAAATAGTTTTTAAAGCAAGTAATTTTGGGGGAATTCCCTGGCGGTCCAGTGATTAGGGCTTTGTGTTTCCACCGCGCAGGGCGCGGGTTTGATCCCTGGTTGGGGAACTGAGATCCCGTATGCCATGTGGCGTGGTCCAAAAAAGTAAAAAATGAAACAAGGAATTCTTTAACTTTCCTAAAAGTAATTATTTCAAAAGACAATCCTAATTTTCTAAGCTTTCAGCTTATATGTTACTGCCTCTGTGAAGCGTTTTCCAGCCCTTTTATGCAATTAATTCGTCATTCCTTGCTCTGATTTCCCCATGCTCGTTTATCTTCAGATAAAAGAAAGCTCAGCAATCTGTCCATCTAGAGACAAAGTTATTCCAAGAAATAGGCCTAATGAAAGTTTGTCTTGACCTCTAGCCTGGAAGGAGTGGTGGGAACTCCTTTCCATCAAGCCTGGGCCCTGCCTGCCTCCATGGTGGACCCTGGGTGGAGTGAGGATGGACACACCTGGGAGCGAAGGACCTGCACGCGGTCGCTGGCATCCAGCAGCCCCTGCTCCGACAGCTTACGGGTCCACTCCGTCTGCTCCAGGGCCACCTTGCTCTTCTCCGGCTCCTCCAGCAAGAGGCCATTCCTGCGCTCCACGATGGCCGGCTGCCCCTTGAGGTCCTCATTGCCCCTCAGGGCATCATCCAGATGCAGCTGGGAGTCCTTCATGAGAAACCAGGAGTGAGACCGGAGCCCAGGGCAGGCTGAGGTCCCGCCAGGTCCTCCAGGGGCCGTGCACTCACCTTGAGCTGGCTCCAGACTGAGCACAGGTGTTTCTGGGTCTCTGCCACCTGGCGGTTGGAGTGGCCCAGCTGAATCTCCATCTCACTGAGGTCCCCCTCCATCTTATTCTTCAGCCTCAGAGCATCATTCCGGCTCCGGATCTCAGCAGCCAGCACGCTCTGCATGGCCTCTGCTGCCCGGTGGCTGTTTCTTTTCAGCTGCTCGATTTCTCCGTCCTTCTCAGTGATCTTGCGGTCAAGCTCAGATTTCACCTGGTTCAACTCTAGCTGGACACGCAAAATCTTGCTCTCTTCATGCTCCAAGGAACCCTGATAAAAGTAAAGGAGTGATAGGGATTGCCAGGGGCAGCCACCTTCTTGAATGAGGTTTTTCATCCCAATTATGATAAAATGGGTATTATTAGACTCATTTTACAAATAAATAGAACAGTACTCAAAAAGGTCAGTTTGCTCCCAAATTGTTACTAGTAATGGAACTAGAACTGAAACTTTGTTGTTAACAATCTTATGTCTTGAGGAGGACAGAGAGCATTGTTTTCAATTAGTAAAAATTTTGATTACTGTGTCTTTTTAAATAGTGACCATAAGTCAGGAGCCAACCTCTTCTCAAAAAAGACAGAGAAAGACAGAGGAATTGCTCTCCTGTTATCCTGCATAGTGCAGATTTCCCTAGAACGCCTTAAGCATTCGCCCCTCACTGGCCACAACTGATGATTACATCAGGATACTGCACTCTTTGGACCACACAGAATTCCCAACAGCCAAAGATGACCGTGTGCAACTCTCTGTTTAAGCTGGCTCTCAGGATGTTTGGTGATTGAGTTCTTGCTTTCTGAGAGGAAGACGTTGAGGACATAATGAACAAGTTTATTTATTCAGTAGGAGAAATACGATGGACTAGAGGACACCCAGGAGACAAGCAGCAGAGAGCAGCTGGTCCCCCCCCAACCCCCGCCACCCAGGGCAGGGGTGGGGCTGGATTCTTCCCATTGGAGCCCCCGTGCCTCCTGCAGGAAGGGCCCCTGGGGGTGGTCTAGTCCCCTTCCTCAGTGCCCCGCCCTCCTTCACATCCCAGACACTTGCCTCCATCTCTTCTAGGGCAGCCTGGAGGTCTGACTTTTCTTTCCACTTGCTTCTTGGTCTTCTCCACTTCCTGAAGATTCCTGCTCATTTCCGCAGTCTGCATGCTTAAGTCGGAAATCTCTTTTGCAAAGGACAGGCTTGATTTAGGCTGTTTTCACAGGCTCTGTCTGACAGCATAGGCGTTTGCCAGGGAATCTGGGGATTGGTGATTCATTCATGACATTCATATAGGAGAGAACAAGTACAGTGAAACCTTTCGGGGGAGGGCGAGGTGTGGACAACACACAGGTGTGTGGCCTCACCTGAAGATGCATGGGGAGGAGCAACAGAACACCTGTATGACCCTGAACCTTCACACAGTACACAGAATGGGCACAGAGAGGACCGGGGGGGGGGGGG